CCACCTCCCAGTCACCCACCTAAAGTGTACAACACAACCAGAGGAGGCTATTCAGGTGATAGGTCAAATTTAAGACAAAATGTCAAGATGACAGGTGGCACCACCTGTCCAACTCAGCCATTCAGGTGATTGGGACCATGCCACAACAACGGGCCAAGTGGTTAGCTTGCGGTTATGGTGCATTAGCCCCTCGTCTTTCCATTAAAAGTTTTGAAAAAAGGGGGAAGTAGTGCCTTGCCGAGGAAAAAACGCAAAGCACCGCTCCCCTGCTGCCATCACTAGTGTGAACTTGCCCTAACCCTAGGTTCACACCTAAGCATTTTCTGCAGCATTTTGCATTTGGCAGAAACACGGTTCAGTCCATTTAAAATGATTTCCTATGGAACATGTTCACACCTGTGCTTTTATTCACCTGGTGCATTTTTTGGAAAGGGTCAGGGACTTTTTTGAATGCAAAAAGCTGCAGTTTTGGTTCTATAGACTTCAAAGGAAATGCTGCAGAAAAGCATGTATTGCTTTTTTGCTGCGTTTTGCGGTTTAAATCTGCCTTGCAACAAGAAAATTAAAAAAATTAAAAAAAAAGCAAAACGCATCAAAAACACAACGCAAAATGCAATGCAGAAACGGCTCAAACGCAATCTGCATATGTGTGAAACTAGCCTAATTGTAAGATAAAAAGTGTAAATATTTTCCATTTTTCCCCACCTACTATATAATGACTCTGGAATTCTGTTTTTGGTACAAAGCAATGTAAAGTTCATTACAAATGAAATCAAGTCTTTTCTGTTTTGTATTTTTTTTTGTCATTAAAAAAATAAAATCAACAGAAAATAATAGCTAAAGGAAGACATTAATGAGGACTGATCTAAGTTAACTGGAGGTCGAAAAGGTACAAATTCAATTTAATTATTTTTTTAACTTGTAAGGTTGCTTGTTATCAGGGGCAGACTGACCATTTGGGAACTCGGGCACTGCCCAAGGCCCGATGGCAGGGTAGTGTAGCGTAGTCAGATAGGCCAGGTAGGTAATCGTGCGGGCAGCATGGTACAAAAGCAGCAGACAAGAGTAGCCAGGTCACACGCCGGGTTCAGTAACAGGAGTTCAGATCAATGGGGATATCCAGGAGAGTAGTCAAACGAGCCAGGGGTCAGAGCAGCAGATAGTCAGCGAAGGTCAGGATAAAGCAGGGTCGGCAACAATTCAATCAGCAGATACACAGGAACAGGATAAGTAGACCATACGGTAACTAGTGTCTGTGCAGAGCTGGTTTAAATATCGCGCCCTGCGCTGTCATTGATGCCGGGCACGCGTCCACGATCGCGAGTGCGCATGTGCGAGCGCAGTTGCCGTGGTGGGCGCCCAGGTCCTAGTGCCTGCTGATTCAGGCGCATTGGCGTTCTGCGCATGCCCAGACCCGTGCGCCGTCGCACTTCCTGACATTGCCTCCCCCCCTACGGGCATCCTCCGGGTGCCCAACTGATCTCTCCTCCATGGGTGGTTGCGATAGAACTCCCGGACAAGTCTGGGGGCGTGTACATTTTGGGCTGGCTCCCATGAATTCTCCTCAGGACCATATCCCTTCCATTGAATCAGGAACTGTGTCTGGCCGCCCCTTTTCCTGCAATCTATGATTGCTTCTACCTCAAATTCCTCTTGTTTGTCAATGGTTACAGCCAACGGGGGTCTGGACCTTCGATCAGGGAAGGGATCTGGCATTGCTGGCTTTAGTAGCGACACGTAGAAGACTGGGTGAATCTTAAAGGTTCCTGGAAGTGTAGGTTCATACGCCACTTCGTTGATTTTCCACTTCACCAGGAATGGACCCATAAACTTCAGCCCCAGTTTTATCGAAGGACATGACATCTTTAAATTCATAGTCGCTAACCAGACCTGATCCCCCGGTTGCAAGATTAGTTTGCCTCTTCTTCTCCTGTCAAAAGCCCTTTTGCTGTCCTCCTGGGCCTTCGCAATCACTTCTTGAAGCACTTTGGCAGAAAAGAAATCCAGCATATTTTGTGTGGGAGGAACTGGGCTTTCAGGAATCAGATCAGGCAAAAATGTGGGATGGAACCCGTAATTCGCAAAAAATGGGGATTGCCCCGTAGCAGAATGATTTGCGTTATTATACGCAAATTCGGCTAATGGCAAGAGCGCCAGCCAATCGTCCCACTTCCTATGGGGGCACTTGTGCCGACTTGCTCCCGAGTTCTGCTGTCTGCATCTATTGACACAGACAGCGAGACTCAGCCCATCCCCCACTCCCTCGTCCACATGGCAGTAAAATCAGGTGGTTGATTTGCGGTTTTACTGCTCCCTGACAACCCACCTGAACAAGGGAATGCAGCTGCTCAGGACTGTACACATACAGTAACAATAATTAAATGGCATGTCATATTTGGTGGCTGATGCTGCCGCCAAACACAACTCATTCAAATAAATAGGGCCATGCTGCAACTGCCCTGCAACCACGTGCAATGCATGTGGTTTCAGTGCAGTGGTCATCATTTTCAGAGTTAAAGCAGGTGGTGAGAAGGTGAAATATCACCTCCTTAACACCTGTCAAACGCCTCTGAAAAGTGATCCACCATGGGTATCTTTTCAGAAAAGTGGCAAGGGCTGCCACATGTCGGAATTAGCCCTAAGGCAGGTACAATGGTAATGTGCCACATTTGGCCAGCTATAGGAGTTGATTGCTTAGTCATTGCTGTATGCATTGATTAGACTTTAGCCTGGGTTCACATACAGTTGTGTTCAAAATAATAGCAGTCAGACATCACTAACCTGATCATTCACTGTTTTTGGTAGAAATGATATTTCTACATGGCAAATAATTTACTAGCAGGTGTAGTAGAGTAATAGAGATCCAACAAACCCAACAGTCATGACATGCATGCTGCTGATTCTGTGTAATTGGAACACTAATTAAACGGGGCATGTTCAAAATAATAGCAGTGTGGAGTTCTATTAGTGAGGTCATTCATTCTTTGAAAAACAGGTGGCAATTATTGCCCTTATTTAAGGAAGGAAGGCAGCAAATGTTGTACTTGCTGGTTACAGTGCATTTCTCTCTGAAATTCTGAGGAAAATGGGTCGTTCCAGACATTGTTCAGAAGAACAGCGGACCTTGATTAAAAAGTTGATTGGAGAGGGGAAAAAATATATAAAGAAGTGCAGAAAATGATAGGCTGCTCAGCTAAAATGATCGCAAATGCTTTAAAATGGCAACCAAAACCTGAAAGATGTGGAAGAAAGCAAAAAACTACCATTCGAATGGCTAGAAGAATAGCCAAAATGGCAAGGACTCAGCCAACAATCAGCTCCAGGAAGATCAAAGAAGTTGTAAAGTTACCTGTGAGTACTGTTACAATGAGAAGACGCCTATGTGAAGCCAAGCTATCTGCAAGAAGCCCCCGCAAAGTCCCACTGTTGAAAAAAAGACGTGCTGAAGAGGTTACAATTTGCCAAAGAGCACATTGACTGGCCTAAAGAGAAATGGCGCAACATTTTGTGGACTGATGAAAGTAAGATTGTTCTTTTTGGGTCTAGTGGCTGGAGACAGTTTGTCAGACGACCCCCAAACACTGAATTCAAGCCACAGTACACTGTGAAGACAGTGAAGCATGGTTGCGCAAGCATCATGATATGGAGATGTTTCTCATACTATGGTGTTGGGCCTATTTATCGCATACCAGGGATCATGGATCAGTTTGAATACATCAGAATACTTGAAGAGGTCATGCTGCCTTATGCTGAAGAGGAAATGCCCTTGAAATGGGTGTTCCAACAAGACAACAACCCCAAACACACCAGTAAACGTGCAACATCTTGGTTCCAGACCAACAAGATTGATGTATGGAGTGGCCAGCCCAATCCCCGGATCTTAATCCAACAGAAAACTTGTGGGGTGACATCAAAAATGCTGTTTCTGAGGCAAAACCAAGAAATAGAGAAGAACTGTGGAATGTAGTCCAATCATCCTGGGCTGGAATACCTGATCACAGGTGCCAGAAGTTGGTTGACTCCATGCAACACAGATGTACAGCAGTTCTCAGAAACAGTGCTTATACAACTAAATATTCATTAAGTGATTCAAAGGAAAGCAAAATCTTCAAACATTTTTCAGTTTATATAGTGAATGTTTGAGTTTGTAAAGAAGAATACAAACACTGCTATTTTTTTGAACAGTCTAATATTCACTTTTCTTCAATTTTTTTAGAGGAACAACACAAATTTAATATATTTTTCTTCATGTTTTGATTTGGAATAGAATGTGTAGTGTTCCCAATGCATCTGTGTGTATGGAAATAAAAGCTATTAGAAGGTTTTTTGAGCTTTATTCACTTTTTTCAAAACACTGCTATTATTTTGAACACAACTGTATATGCGGTGCTGTATATTGCACGTGATTCACATAGGAACCACACCACATTCCTGTGCAGATCACATTCGATTTGTGTGCGGTGCGATTAGAGCCGTACATTTTGTATGGCTCTAATCACACCACACCCGCACCAAAAAGGTGCAGGACCCATTTTTTTTTGGTCCGCACTAGAATCGGATCACATGGGTATTCACACCTATGTGATCTGATTCTGCACATCACACCGCATTTTGCAGACCGCTTTCAGGGTGTTAACACTCGCAGCGGTTCGCATGAACGGGGTGCGTTTCTGATGCTGTGCAGAATTTGCATAGAAAATGCTGCAAATTCTGCACCGCATCAGTGTGAACTAGGGCTTACTGTGTGCTGCGCACATGGAAGGCACCAGCCATTTTTCAAAATGGGGAACTATTCTGAAGATAGAGGCATTCGACTATGCTAGTGTCTTATTAGTGAAATCTAAATAGTTGCTTTTCATGGTTTTGTTGATTCTACAGCTCTGCATTATTGAATAAATCTGTGTCAGATTACACTTCTCTGTAAAAGAATTAGGCTTACTGGCAAGAGTACAGAACTTGATCACATAAGGATGGACCGGATGAATCAACACAGCAGAGAGCACAGATATGATGGTCCTGCAACCTGTGCTTTGAGCTGTTCATCTACTGGGCACTGTTTTTCATTGGCATCCAGTGATGAGTACTGGCAGCTAGCTCAGCACAGACCTCCTATAACAGGATCTGTAGCATTGTCATGGTTTTCTACTCTAGATTGTGTCCATTTATTGAATGATTTGGCCATGGGATTTTTCACCCGCGCTCTGCTCTTTGCTGTCACAATATTCCAACAGATAACATGCCGCAGGTAATGTACAATGACTCATTATTATATTTCTTTCTAAAATGTTATTAATGCCCTTATTATGCAAAAAAAGTTTGGGACTAGTTTAAAAAATATTATTTTATAATTTGGGGGGCTGGTGAGGTTCACACAACTGGGGAAATCAAAGTAGAAATACTTTCACGATTTATAGAATAGGCACTTTCATTTTATTCAGGTTTTAGAAAATCATCTCAAAGTGCAATATCTTGACATACCTTGTTGTTTTTTAGGTTCCATAAATTGTTGGCTACTTTATATCTGCTAAGGATAAGTTGGACCTATAACCTTAGTGTCCAAATGGTCATTTGTCAGTTAGTGTAGCTGTGATTTGGTTTGTGGCTGGCTAAGAAGTGATTTAACATGACAAGTAACTTCCTAAAGACTGAAAACCATTATTTGCTTTGGCATTGATTGGTGGTGGTATACTGGTAAATATTAGATTAACCTCCCTGACGGTATTCCGGAGTGTAGCTCGGGGTAAAATTTCTATACCAAAAGCGGTAACCCCAAGATACACTCGGGCTTACCATGCGGCGCTGCATAGGGGGTCCCTGCCTCACTTACCTTGTCCTTCGTTCCCACGATGTGTCCCCTGCAGCGTCCCCGGCCATCTCCTCCGGCCGATGCCGGCATCCGGCTTCTGTGTTCCGGTCCCCGTGACGTCGGGACGTACGGGCGCCGCCGGCGGCGGGGGAAATTTAAAAAATTTAAAAAATTTCATTTTTTTTTTTTACATTTTACACACTTTTTTTTACATTTTACATACGTCAAAAGCGGTTTTAGACCGGCTAGAGAACAGCGATAGTAAATCAGAACCACTTGCAGAATTGAGCGATAATGATTTGTGGGGAAATTTTCCTAAAAATTACAGCCTACAATAAAAAACTATTTCCATGCAAAAAAATGGTACCGCTTTCAGCACAAAAAATCGGAAAGAATCATACCGCTAGGGTGGTTAAAGATTGGAAGAGGTATGGGGGTTGGGGGGTTAACCTTGTTGTGGCGGTGGTGTAAGGCTGTAGGGATGGTATGGTATAGGGATGGTATGGAGGCAGGGATGGTATGGTATAGGGATGGTATGGTATAGGGATGGTATGGAGGCAGGGATGGTATGGTATAGGGATGGTATGGTATAGGGATGGTATGGTATAGGGATGGTATGGAGGTAGGGATGGTATGGTATAGGGATGGTATGGTATAGGGATGGTATGGTATAGGGATGGTATGGAGGTAGGGATGGTATGGTATAGGGATGGTATGGAGGTAGGGATGGTATGGAGGTAGGGATGGTATGGTATAGGGATGGTATGGAGGTAGGGATGGTATGGTATAGGGATGGTATGGAGGTAGGGATGGTATGGTATAGGGATGGTATGGAGGTAGGGATGGTATGGTATAGGGATGGTATGGAGGTAGGTATGATGGTATGGTATAGGGATGGTATGGAGGTAGGGATGGTATGGAGGTAGGGATGGTATGGAGGTAGGGATGGTATGGTATAGGGATGGTATGGTATAGGGATGGTATGGAGGTAGGGATGGTATGGAGGTAGGGATGGTATGGAGGTAGGGATGGTATGGTATAGGGATGGTATGGAGGTAGGGATGGTATGGAGGTAGGGATGGTATGGAGGTAGGGATGGTATGGTATAGGGATGGTATGGAGTAGGGATGGTATGGTATAGGGATGGTATGGAGGTAGGGATGGTATGGTATAGGGATGGTATGGAGGTAGGGATGGTATGGTATAGGGATGGTATGGAGGTAGGGATGGTATGGTATAGGGATGGTATGGAGGTAGGGATGGTATGGAGGTAGGGATGGTATGGAGGTAGGGATGGTATGGTATAGGGATGGTATGGAGGTAGGGATGGTATGGAGGTAGGGATGGTATGGAGGTAGGGATGGTATGGTATAGGGATGGTATGGAGGTAGGGATGGTATGGTATAGGGATGGTATGGAGGTAGGGATGGTATGGTATAGGGATGGTATGGAGGTAGGGATGGTATGGTATAGGGATGGTATGGTATAGGGATGGTATGGTATAGGGATGGTATGGAGGTAGGGATGGTATGGAGGTAGGGATGGTATGGTATAGGGATGGTATGGTATAGGGATGGTATGGAGGTAGGGATGGTATGGAGGTAGGGATGGTATGGTATAGGGATGGTATGGAGGTAGGGATGGTATGGTATAGGGATGGTATGGAGGTAGGGATGGTATGGTATAGGGATGGTATGGTATAGGGATGGTATGGTATAGGGATGGTATGGAGGTAGGGATGGTATGGAGGTAGGGAGATTAGAGGAATCAGGGAGATGGTATGGAGATGGTGTGATGTGGAGGCAGTATACTGGTTCACCTCCCCAACTTCTCCTACTCGTTCAGACGCCAGGCAATCTCTCCCACACCCGGATCTCCCAGAGCTCCTCCACTGCTGCTCACTTGTCTGGGCCGCTCCACTGCCTTGTCTGTCTCACTGGCGTCTCCCTGGCAACCCCACTCCTCCTCCGAAGCCGCCGCCAGACGTCAGGGGAAACCCCGAGGTGTCCTTCTCCCGGCTCTCTCCTGGCTCCGGGCAGTCCGACCGTCTCCCTGGCAACCCCACTCCTCCTCCGAAGCCGCAGCCGGAGGTCAGAGCTTCCTGCACACTCTCCCGTGCCGCCATATTCAGGCTCCGCCGCCTCATCTGCTTTGGCATAACCCAGAAACACATCATTATCATGTATAAAAGATTCAGGAGTTAGAATTGTTTGCATGGCTCCATAGCAATTAAATTCTATTCTAACTTTTATTCTCCAACTGTCATTTCACTGCAGGTTTGAATCTAGATGCTGGAAACCAACTCTGACTGTGTTTTCCTAGTACATTGTCATATGTAAAGTTGTATCAGAATTTGTAGCAATTTATTTAGTTAGGCTACACTGTTTAAAAAACAAAATCTAGGACATTCTGAGCCCATATTTTAGGTTATTATTGCAGTGTTTGCCCTAATTCCCTCTTCCTCCTTCACATTTATCTAGCTTACCTCCATTTCCCATCAAATGCCAGGAGTGAATAACAACCCAGAGTTACCTCAGGTTGGATCTCCCATCAGAACTTGTACTGAGCTGACTGTCTCCCTGTCATACGACAGTCCTGCACCAATCCCTGTAACATATCAAATTGTCTTGATATTTTTGTTAATTTATATTTGTGAGAAAAGTCCAAAATACAAAGTCCTTCCAGCTCATATGTAAAAACACAAAATGGGTTTAAGAATAAAATTGCAGAAAATTACAAGTAAAATATTATAATACAGAAAGTAATATGTCAAAAAATTCTTGAGATACAAATTGTGTGTATAATTGTGTGTATGTTCCAAGTCTCATGAAAAGTCTTCTTAAAAGGTCTTTGTTCTGCTCTATAAGGAGCAGTTCAGCCCCCACCTTCTCCTAAAAGTGGGCTGGTTTTCATTTCTGTTTCTTAACCACTTGCCCTCCAGAGGATTTACCCCCCTTCCCGACCTGGCCATTTTTTGCGCTATGGCGCTGTGTTACTTTAACTGACAATTGCGCGGTCATGCAACACTGCGCCCAAATTAAATTTAAGTCCTTTTTGTTCCCACAAAGAGAATTTTCTTTTGGTGGTATTTGATCCCCTGTGCATTTTTTATTTTTTGCACTATAAACAAAAAAATCTGACAAGTTTGAAAAAAAAAAAACAATATTTTTGACTTTTTGCTATTAAACATGTCCAGTACAAAAAATGTAAAAATCAAATGTCATAAATTTAAGCCAAAATATATTATGCTATATGTCTTTGATAAAAAAAAAAATCTCAATACGTGTAAATTAATTGGTTTACGTGTTTACAAATGGTGGTATATATACTGGAATTTGTTTTTTTCTATATTTTTTTACTGGTAATGGCGGTGATCAACAACTTATAGTGGGACTGCGGGACTGTGACAGGTCTTTTGACACTGGGGGGGAACTAACTTGGTGTCACTGACATCCCCAGTGACACTGATACAGTGATCAGTACTAATAAAAAGCACTGACACTGTACTAATGACACTGGGCAGGAAGGGGTTAACATGTGGGGCGATCAAAGGGTTAACTGTGTACTTTTTCACTGTGTGCTGTGTGAGTGTTTTACACTTTAAGCACATTGCTTTGTATAGCTCTGCGAATCTGGCGATTCACGACTAATTACTACCACATGCTGCTGGAGTGTACAGAAAAAACCAAGACATATATTCACATACATATATATTCACATAGACTATAAAAGTCTGTTTATCTTACGTTTCCCAATCTAGAACAAATAGAAATATAACAACAATTATTCTATTAAGATCCAGCACATTCATACATGTGTTAGTAATGTTCATAAGTAGATATTAGATTATTTGCTCTTGGCAGCTGTACAAATCTGTGGTGGAGAAAAGGCAAGTTAAAGGGTACTGCTCAGAGAGATGAGCTTTCAAGGACATCTGTACTTCCAGGTATGGAGGAGCATGTGACCACTCCATGTGATAGCGCTAGTGCTTTGTGATTGGTTTGGCACTGTTATATAAGGGAGAGAGAGCCTTAACCTCTGTGGAAGCTCCAACCAATATACAGTCAGGTCCATAAATATTGGGACATCGACAAAATTCTAAAATTTTTGGCTTTATACACCGCCACAATGGATTTGAAATGAAACAAACAAAATGAGTAGCTAAACCACTCAGGATGAGGCTTGGACTCATAGTGGAAAACATGCAAAAAAGAGCGCTCCACATAGTGTAAAACCATAATCACAACATTTATTTAAAGTATGGGTGCACTCACATGTAAGCAAACATCATTAGGCATTAATTGGCAAAAAAATCAAAATTTTCCAGTTTCCAAAATGGCCTCTGATCATTCACACATACGTGTGTGTGCGTGGCTCCGCTACTGTGCATGTGCGAATGGCCGGCAGCCATTTTGGAAACTGAAAAATTTGGATTTTTTTTTTGCCAATCAATGCCTAATGATGTTTCCTTACATGTGAGTGCAACCATACTTTAAATAAATGTTGTGATTATGGTTTTACACTACACTATGTGTTCTTTCTTTGCATGTTTTCCACTATGAGTCAAAGCCTTATCCTGACTGGTTTAGCTACTCTAATTAAGGTCCATTGTTTGGAAGATCCTTAACTGCTCTTTTGGAGATCTGGAGGATGATTGAAGTGTCTGGCTTTCTGGATTGTTTAACAAAGCGCGATTGACCACTCTTAACAGGGGGTCATGCCTTTCTGGTAAGCCTTCTGTAGTAGTGGTTGGTGACACAACTGTCCTTGGATTTCTTTTGTTTCATCACAGCCTCTGGGACTTTTCTTTCATTTTTAAATGGACTATTTGTTGACACACTTTTCACTCTTTTCTTATGATTATTTGTCACGGTGAACTCTTATGTATTTATTGCTGATTGCCTAGTATCAGGGTTTTTGTGTTCAGCTGCTCTGTTTCACAATTCATTTTTGATTATTGATTATCTATTGTGGTTATTATTATTATTATACAGTATTTATAAAGCGCCAATAGTTCGCTCAGCGCTGTACATTACAAATTATTATTAGCGCAGGTTTATATATATATTTATCATTCTTTTAAATGAGTTGGCCAAGTAATGGACTTGCATTTTGAGAAGAAGTAGTAAAGCACAACTATTGTATAATTCTGCACAGCAGAAAGCAGAGTCTCTGCAATAATGGAGCCCCTGTATACATATATATTTCCAAATTATGCATACAGTAGAAAGATTTTAAAACCTTAACCCAGATTTATAATTACTTACATAAACCTCCCCTTTACATGTATGCATTTAAAAATGGCTATAGCTTAAAAAAGGAGTGAACAATCTATTAGTAGGTTATTATTTTTACTTTAGCATTGGTACTGAAGACATTGGGGAATACATTGGATCTAATATAGAGATATCATGGGTGCCCAACCTAGATGGACTGATGCAAGGATATGCAAGGAACTTCAGGCCTGGCATTGGAGGTACTGTACTATGAATTATTTATATGCCTATACTACTGCAACTATGCTGAAACGGTTAGAGACAAATAACTTTTCTAAAGCAGGGTATATAACAGAAGGGTTCATTTGATTGATTGGTCTAAGCAACACAAACAGTTCTTCTTACTAGTGGAGAGTCAAACTGCCCTGGGTTCAGTTTGAGCAGGGTTGCAAACTTCAAAAAATGTTGGATGCCGAACCCCATTGAAATCAATGGGAGCTAAATCTGTTAAATTAAAAATGCCCAGGCACTGCCCAGGGTACAAGTACAAGTACAGGTACAAGTTTCAATGCAAAAAAAAATCCATTCAGAAAGGATTTCAGAAATTTTTTTTTAAATTAAAAATTAAAAAAGATTTAAATTGCCAAAGGTCCCTCAACCCCTAAGGGTCTGTTATATACTGTGAGGGACCTTTGGACATGTGTGCTTTTTTAAAAAAAAAAGAAACTGGCAAAGAAGCTTTATGTCCTGGCAATTTAAACTCTATAATTTTCCCCTTGTAAATGTCATTTTTTCTGTAGCACATTTTTCAGCAAGAATAAAAAAAATGTGTGAGGTCCCCCCAAAATCCATACCAAACCATTAAGTCAAGCATGCAGCATGGATGGGAAGGAAAGGGGAGGAACACGTGTGTGCTCCCATCTTTCTTCTGAACCATATTACTCCGCAAGCCCTCAGCATGGTGGCTTGCTTTGGCCCTGGGCTGTGATTGTGGGGGTCTGAGGGCAGAGGACTTTTAATAATCTGGAAGCCCCCTTTAATAAAAAGGGTCTCCCAGATACATAATACCCCTACTTATTCACATAAAAGAGTCGTCACCCAGAAATAAAGACACACAAGTTTGACAAATCCTTTATTAAAAAAAATAAAAATCCCCAAAAAAGTCCCTCATTGGAAATCTATTGTCAATCATGATGCCCACTACTTGCCGACCTGCTGAAAAAAACAAACAAAAGACACGCCACACAACAAATCCCAACACTACAGAAAGCCGAATGACAGCTCCCTGAGTTGTTATCAACTATATAAAGGAAGAGGCGGGGATAGTGGTGACATATTTAGACAATGATGTAACACTAAACAACAAAAAAACATTAGGGTGCGATGCTTCAAATAACCATAACAAATAAATAGATGAAATAAAAGTCCAATTCATATATGATAAAGATGAAATAAGGCCCTCTTCATTGGGACATCAATAATGTCATAAACGCTTTAATCTGCTCAGGGAGATAAAGGGGATCCACCATCATCAACACCCAAAAAATTATGCCTCTTAATAGACCAAAATGACCCTCAGATATGGACAGGTCAAAATGCGCAGTGTAAATTCTAAAAGTAGGCTATGGACCTGGACACTATGGCTGTAACACTCCACTCCCCACCCATTTACTTACATGGCCAGGGATTCCTGCCTGCTCACCTGCTGCTTCCCTGAACCTGAAAGTATAACTAAAGGCAGCACTTTTTTTTTGTTTTCAACAGAGTGGCGAGGGATTAGAACATCTCTCCATTTTTATTGCCAGCTGTGCCCCCATTAAGGAGATTCACTCTCTCTATTTCTCCGGTTTACCATTATCATTGAGAGTGAAAGTAAAAGAAAATCCCAAATTTTGGGTTCTGCCCAGAAAAGTAATACAGGAGAAATCTTCCGATTGGGACACTAGTTCTGGTGACCTGGGGGTCCCCAAGGAATTCCCTTAATTTGCGGGGATTTCCTATCACTTCCTGTTTGGCCTATGGGACAGAAAGTGAAGGGAAATCTCCACAATGGGACATAGATGTTGAAAAAAAATCTGGCAGGGGTTATAACCCTCCATTGCTCTGTTCAAATTTAAAAATAAATCGCCTATAGTTCTACTTGAAGGCCAGCCTTACATTTTTTTTTCCTACAAGGACTAGAATTTCCTCTGACTTGCACAGAGGTATGAGTCTAAATAGGCTCTCTGCTGTCCTCTCTGTTAAAAAAAAACATAATACAAGCTGTCTGTCTGGTGCCCCCTTCCCTCAATGTAAGCTAAACTTCACCCCTCTCTAGGCGTTGCACTCTTGGCCCCCCCCCCCAAAGCTATTGCGTCTCCCAGTTGTTTCCTGCAGAAAGAGCTTGGTGGGCGTTCTCATTCTACCTGTGTCTGTATGACCTCTATGACCAAGCCCCCAGTGGGCGGGGCAAAATGCGTCAGAGAGTGTGGCCAGTATGGAAGCTGAGGCCATTCCTTAACATTGAACTCCTGGCGTCAGTTGAACAGCGTCCATCCCTTCACTTGTATTAGCTGACTCTGGAATCGCTTGGACTTGGGCTCCCCTCTTCTCACTTTCCGGTGGGGTGATCCTGAGCGGCACCATAAGGTATACTTTTCACTATCTACAGTACATGATTTGCAGGTGTGAAAGCAACAACATGTTTTGCATTGAAAGCGGAAGTGATGTATCAAAGAACAGCAATAAAACCTGACAGGCAGATGTTCTAATACATTTGCACTCTATCCAAAACTCAAAAAGCTTTGCCTTTAGTTATACTTTAACTTAACAATTGTTGACAGCTGGGATAGTAGTGACATCATTAACCAAATATGGTCATGTAGCCATATTTAGGCAGTGATGTAACCCGCTCCTTTCCTATGGATTCCCAGCCATGAAAGTGAATGGGTGACGTCAGTGGTTAGTAGGGAAGCAGCAGGAGCAAGCAGCCTTACAGATGTCCTATAGACGACAATGTGCTTGTGTTCAAATATGTAGAAAAAAAAGGTATGTGGCTACAAACATGGTGTATTTTTCACTCATATGCCATATAGTGACCTCATATGTGAAAATAAACTCATGTCTACAGATTACTATTCAAAGATATACTTTATACCCAAGTTCATACACCAATGAGAATATGTGATCCCTTTTCTCTGTTCTTTGCACTTTGATAGCAGTGAATGTAACCTAGTTCTAACTGCATTTTGTACAACATGTATTTACTGTATATACATATGTCTTCATTAATTTTTCAGGGCCTCCTGTGATTGTTGCAGTAGATATAGAAGTCACCAGCATTGACCATATATCTGAAGTAAACATGGTAATGTAAACTACTAAGGCTAGTGCATTGGTAGAGCTGATTGGCTTGTGCTTCACTACCCCTTACAGTTGTTGGGAGCCAGATCACATATGCAGTAATGTATGTAGGTTGTGTGCTGCCCTAGGCAACACAAAAAATTGGCCAACCCCCAAACCTCCCTCTACCCCCCTCCGTGGAAAGAGCCTGTCACCGGCTAACGCCACCCCCCCCACCCCCGTGGAGGAGAGAGCCTGAGACATTGACCAACAACACCCCTGCCCCCACCCCCTCCGGAGAGAGCCTTCCATTACCATTGCACCCCCCATACACCGCCTTCCCCACCCGGTGAGAAAGAGAGACACTCACATTCACAGCTCCAGACATCCTCGGGATTGAGAATTGGGCTCTACATATAACATCAAGCAGCCCACAGCTTCTTTTGAATCCCATCTGATCCCCAGGCTGCCTGTGTCCTTTCTTCAGTCCCTTCTTCCAGGGGGCAGCTCTGCCCCCCTGAAAAATGCCTTGTTTGCCTTGTGGTAAATACGCCCCTGCACATATGTCCAAAAACAACTAGATCTGGAGACAATATAATGTATGTGTGTCACCAGCAGAAACCACCAGCCAACATTTGTCTGGAGAAGGAAGGAGTGATGTCGGAGAACCTTGTCTGACTGCTTTTATTGTGCCCTTGATAAACAATTGTCTGCAGCCCCCCTTTCTATATATAGCCTTACAGGAACAGACACGCAGTGCAAATCGCATTTAGGTGCTCTGCCACCAACACAGATGCCTCCTCCGCATACCATAAGATTTACCATTTAAGAACAGTAGACTCATTAATCAACCTATATCTGTAGAGCAGATGTGTTTTTTAATAAGTGTGTTCTTCCATTGTGACAAATAATCCATTCATTATACAGTGTACAGACATAACATTTGTAATGCATTTCAATCATTTTACCCTAAAAGACCTCATCTCAGGGGATCCATTGTGATTCTGTTTTTAATAGAAAAAGTCATCAGTCCCCCCTGCTCCCCAATCTGCAAACAGTTTTTAAATGTGCCAATGTCAGACAGACGGAATCTTCATTATTGCATTGTCTGACATGTTCAATCAGTCTCAAAATCCCACTGCTGCCTTGATTAGTCTTTTTTGTTAGTACATATGGTTCTTTAGTAATAGTATTTTTTTGATTTGAAGTGATCTTCCCTGGGAAAATTGATGAAATATGTATCCTTTATAATGTAGGGATATGTTCCCTAGTAGCCTGCGTTAGATTGTTCTTGTTTTGCTGTTTTGAGAAAGTTTAGGATTATCTGGAAGATTCACTAGGGGGTTGGAACAAAACTAAAAAGTATAAGCAGCATTCTGGAAGGGTCTTTTGAGCCTAGAAGTTCTGATTTGTGTCTGGGATATTGTCTGTCAGCTCAGCCACTGATGGTTCACTATGAAAAAAATACTTCTCCTGTGGGTCTTAGTTCTGCACTCCTGTAACCCAGATTTCAGATGATAATGGGCTAAATCCCACTGACAGCTGATGTTACAGAGCCGGCACAGGCTCTGCTGTGATCCCAACAATAATGTCAGGATCTACCCAGATGCCTGAATTTTAGCTGGCTCAGCCTCTCTGTGCTCCGCCAACAGCCTGAGCCAGCTGTATTCAATGAGATGCAGGCACTGTCGGGGTATTCTTGCAGAATACAATATCCCCCTTAGATTTGGATGCAATGAAGTTCACTAGAACCCCCCAGGTTTTGCTGCAGTCACAAACCTGGAGCATTGAAGACACAAGAGCTTTTGCTTGATGTCTGCTTTCCTACAAAAAAGTCCCACTTTCCCACCCTTGTGGAGTCTCTAACACAAGTCCAAATTGTTGTCTTGTAAAGAAAAAAAAAATGGCTATTTTGCTAACTAAAGAGCTACAGACATATATGGGGAAGTGAAAAGGTGATGAACTTTCAGCCATGCTCAAGTTGGGGGGAGATCTCCTTGCCAGACTCACAGCAGAAAATGCCTGCTGAAGTGGTCAAGCCCTGTTTCACTTTACTTAAAAAAGAGTAATCCTTTATCGAATCAGTTGCTCCTTAAAAGGCTTTTCCATGAAAATGCAACATGTGGGAATTTGTGGTGCAAGAGAAAGGAGTTATTGAGCTCAACTTACACTCACATGCTGTCAGGGCAGGAACGCTGGAATGGGCAGGCAGGCCTATGGTACGGTCACGCTGCGACTGACGACAGCCACTACCCACAGACCAGAGTCCCTCAGGGCGCGGAGTCTAAGCCCCAGGCTACCCTTCACCAGGGCCCCTGATGGTGGGGATGGACTTGACGCAGCCTGAGACCAGGTCGCGGCCCCCGAGTGACCCCAGCTGCGATAACGACTGCCGCCAATGGCGTACAGCTGGTGGGAGCTAGATGGGAACACGAGTAGAGTAGTCAGACAAGCCGGGTCAATAACAACGCAGCAGACAGTACTAGACGGTAGGCAAAGAATACTCAGGTCACGGGCCGGGTTCAGCAACGGGAGGTCAGTTAAAGGGTTAACGCAGAGAGTAGTCTTGTCCAAGCCGAGTCGGTTACCAGGAGAGCAATGGGAACAACACAAGAGCTTGCAACAGGGCAACATACAGGACACAAGTGCAGCGCACACTTGCAGACAGGAGGTTTAAATGTGCTCAACCACACCCTTCTGAGGAGGAGCCGCAGAAGCCTGAAGGCATAAAGGTTCCCACCATGCTTTGCAGAAAACCAAGATGGATGCCAGCTCATGGAGATGCACAAGCTCTGAAGAAAGGTAGGACCTTGACACATGCATGTCTTTCCTGGAAGCCTAACAATTTCCAGACTGCTAGCTTCCATCTTCCAAGCTGATAGTGATGTCCCCATAGACTTCTAAAGACCTGACACCTTTAAATGGAAGTTCAGATGCAGACATATGGAACCGAGAAGTCACACTGCCAAATATTTCAAGAAGTGGGTCTGAGTGATAATCTTCCAGCCCATGAGAGTGGTGTTACTGCCCAAGAAAACAGTTCTTATTGGATTTAGAGTTGGTAGGGCTTAGACAGTAAGTCAGAAAAATCATGTTGCATTACCAAAGTGAAACTAAATCAAAGAGGGACAGAAGTTTTTCTGGCTAATAAAGTCTAATGCTGGGTGTACACAATCCAAATATTGGCCTGTTCAGCAAGAATCGGCCAACATTCAGCTGCCTGTCTGACCAAAGCCGGTACAATGACTGGCTTTTGTTAAAGGGACATGCTGGAAAACCAGTAATCGACCAGCAGCCATTCAGCACTGGTAGCCAATGGCTGTGAGCACTGATCAGTGTGTTCTGGTGGGGGTCAGTCCCCCTGTCAGAAACCAATAGCAGGAGAGATCACCACACTAACATTGCGTAGATAGCACGGCGACCTTTCAGTTTTCTTTTCATTTAGCGTACTAGGTTGAACAAAAAAAAACTTAACATGTGTATACCAGGCTTTAAGGAGGCATATTGTTACGTCCACTGCTAAGTAGGCCTTTCACATTTCAATATTGTCTTGCATTTGCATTAAAAAGTGACCTTATCCTTAATAAAAAGGATATGTTTTTTGATGTTGAAATTTAGTTTTTTGATGTTGATATTTGATCTGCATTGCAAAACCAGCAGTCAGTCTTCTTATTGTTTAGGAATACACAATGACAGTGTACCTGCGTCAGAGCTGGAGGGATGAAAGGCTTTCTTACAACCATACCAACAAAACTCTTGGCTTTGACAGTAGATTTGTTGAGAAACTTTGGCTTCCAGATACCTTTATTGTAAATGCCAAGTACGCCTGGTTTCATGACGTGACAGTGGAAAACAAGCTAATCCGACTCCAGCCAGATGGTGTCATCCTATACAGCAGTAGGTAAGAAGTTGTCTCTACTGACTTCTACTACGAACACTTTTATAAATTAATCATCCAAAAAATTTAACTTCTCAGGAATACCTGCAGTGTGTCAGACATTAAAAAGGGATAACGGCACATGAAGTACTCCTTACTGACTATTGAAATAGCATAAAGCATATTGGCCCTTTTAAAGGAACCAAATTATCAGAAGTATGTGGGCATAATCACATTTCAGTGACTCTGCATAGGAAAATAAACAAGCAGGCATTGCCAGATAAAGTGCAGAACATTGTGACAAATTACTCATACGTTTTAAACTGTAATAACAAAATATTAAAGAAGTGATGTGGGCATTTAATCACAGTTTCCATGCAAAAAAGTGCCAAAAAGTGCAAGAAGTTGTGACAAATCTCATACGTTTATTTTACATAAAAGGATTTCTGTGCTTCAGTGCTGATGCCCCCTTTGAACTAAATCACTCACCAGATGATGATCTAATTGACCTCTTAAAACTAAGAAGGTCAATGAGTGCTGTTAGGTGTAAATATCTCTCTCCAGCCAGATTACTTTCTTCCTTTTTCTCTCTCATAAACCAAGAGTTCAGGGTGAAATCAAAAGATGCTAAACCATCTTCCAAATCACTCCACCATATGTATATGGAAATCACAGACTGTGAAGAGCTTCAGTGCATAACACTGTTTATTGGATTAAAAATCTCCCAACTAGTCAAAACAAATGTGTGCACACTCGCATCTTAATGTGCCTATGTCCTGGCATCCAAAGTGACTAACATAGCCTCTAGGGGGGAGCGCAAATACTCCGCAACACTCAGGGGAGCCAGTGTGTGTTCCACTCTGAGCGGAAGTAGCGTCACTTCTAGTAGCTTTGACCAAACACGTTTCATCATATCCAGATGTCCCCAGGAAGCAGTCCTGAAGTGGCATCCTTCGCTCACTGAAATATCCTATCATAACCTTTTCTTTGCCAGTCTTGTTTAACTAAACTCTGAAATTGCTTATTATAATGCTACTCTTAGGCCAATAATACACTAACATTATCTTAAACCCCTTAGGGCTAAAAACAATGCCATTACTACTTATAGAGAGCAATATAAATCTCAAGACTTCAGTATTTCCATCTAGTAGACACTAATCAGAATACATTAAATACATATATAATCATACTAAAAGTGCTTAAAATTACAGAGAAAATATATCAAAATAATATATACAGTAAAATATATATATACAGTTTATAATATGTAGAAAATAATACAATCCAAAGAATTCTAAAACCGAAATATAAAACTTTGAATTTACAGACAAACATAGTTTGCTTCTTAGCTTTAATTAATAATTAAAGATAATACAATTGAGGTCTGTTTCAATATTTAGACCCAAAGGTCTTAAGGTGTTCAATTCATATATCTATTGGGTCTCATTTTTGGATATCTCCTTTTCCAGGTCTGTCCCTCTGCAGTGATTTGATACGCTGTCTGCCCCATAAAATATTTAACATTTCTTAAACCTTTTCTTATATTATTAATATGTTCATTATTCCCAATGGAAAATTTTCTTGTTCTATCCACATACTGGAGGCCACAAAAACACTCCTGTAGTCTGTAACGTGTCTACTGTCACACATATATATATATATATATATATATATATATATATATATACATACAGTGGGGATCGAAAGTTTGGGCACCCCAGCTAAAAATTTGGATTAATGTGCATAAAGAAGCCAAGGAAAGATGAAAAAATCTCCAAAAGGCATCAAATTACAGATTAGACATTCTTATAATATGTCAACAAAAGTTAGATTTTATTTCCATCATTTACACTTTCAAAATAACAGAAAACAAAAAAATGGCGTCTGCAAAAGTTTGGGCACCCTGCAGAATTTATATCATGCACTGCCCCCTTTGCAAAGCTGAGACCTGCCAGTGTCATGGATTGTTCTCAATCATCGTCTGGGAAGACCAGGTGATGTCAGTCTCAAAGGTTTTAAATGCTCAGACTCATCTGACCTTGCCCCAACAATCAGCACCATGGATTCTTCTAAGCAGTTGTCTAGAAAACTGAAACTGAAAATAGTTGACGCTCACAAAGCTGGAGAAGGCTATAAGAAGATAGCAAAGCATTTTCAGATGTCAATATCCTATGTTCGGAATGTAATTAAGAAATGGCAGTCATCAGGAACAGTGGAAGTTAAAGCAAGATCTGGAAGACCAAGAAAAATATCAGACAGAACAGCTCGCAGGATTGTGAGAAAAACAATTCAAAACCCACATTTGACTGCACGATCCCTCCAGAAAGATCTGGCAGACACTGGAGTTGTGGTACACTATTCCACTATAAAGAGATACTTGTACAAATATGGTCTTCATGGAAGAGTCATCAGAAGAAAACCTCTTCTATGTCCTCACCACAAAAATCATCGTTTGAACTTTGCAAATGAACATATAGACAAGCCTGATGCATTTTGGAAACAAGTTCTGTGGACCGATGAGGTTAAAATTGAACTTTTTGGCCGGAATGAGCAAAGGTACGTTTGCAGAAGAAGGGGCACAGAATTTAATGAAAAGAACCTCTGTCCAACTGTTAAGCATGGGGTTGGATCAATCATGCTTTGGGGTTGTGTTGCAGCCAGTGGCACAGGGAACATCTCACGAGTAGAAGGAAAAATGGATTCAATAAAATTTCAGCAAATTTTGGATGGTAACTTGATGCCATCTGTGAAAAAGCTGAAATTAAAGAGAGGATGGCTTCTACAAATGGATAATGATCCTAAACACACCTCGAAATCCACGGGGGATTACATCAAGAGGCGTAAACTGAAGGTTTTGCCATGGGCTTCACAATCTCCTGACCTCAACATAATTGAAAATCTATGGATAGACCTTATAAGAGCAGTGCGTGACAGACAGCCCAAAAATCTCAAAGAACGGGAAAACTTTTGTAAGGAAGAATGGGCAAAGATACCTCAAACAAGAATTGAAGGACTCTTGGCTGGCTACAAAAAGTGTTTACAAGCTGTGATACTTGCCAAAGGGGGCAGTGCAAGATATTAACTCTGCAGGGTGCCCAAACGTTTGCAGACGCCATTTTTTTGTTTTCTGTTATTTTGAAAGTGTAAATGATGGAAATAAAATCTAACTTTTGTTGACATATTATAAGAATGTCTAATCTGTAATTTGATGCCTTTTGGAGATTTTTCCATCTTCCCTTGGCTTCTTTATGCACATTAATACAAATTTTTAGCTGGGGTGCCCAAACGTTCGATCCCCACTGTATATATATTATAAATGTGTCTATTTTGTAAATGTGTGAGGTGGACTTAGAGCTATCCATTCTATTTCTACCTTGTATGAGGCCCCTATACCCAACTCTTGGGGAATAACTTTTGAAATTGGTTCCTATTTCCCCTATAATATGTCTCAGCGGGAGTATCATGTGGCAAATATTTAAATATGTGGTGTACTGGTACCCTATATCTAGGTGTATCATTCTAACCCCTCCTATTAGGTTAACAATATCTTTGAAAACATGGTCCTCAGCGATATCTTTCTCTTTCTCTGTTCTCAACCCTTTGCCACATATTCTCTCTCTCTTCTGATTGTGCATTCAATACTGGGGGAACTCATAGTATTTCCTCTCTCTTCTGGTTACTAATTCAAGTCTAGAAGAACTCATAGTATTCATTCTCTTTCTACTGATGATTCTTTTGATTCTAAGGCTTTTTTATCATTCTGCCATTTATATTCTCTCTGATTTGTATAATTAGTGGTATCCCTATTGTACTTTTTTCAATTTTGTTTTGTTTTTAGTATCCTAATTTTGTAAGGAACTGAATGGTGCCAATTTCTCTCTCAATATTAATATTTTGGATTCAATAATTACCAGTGTTTCTTCCTCCTTTGTACAAACACATCCAATAATTTTTTACCATCTGTGTAATTTGAGAGATTTACTTTCACTTCCTGTCCCATACCCAAAACAGGAAGTGAGAGGAAATCCCAGGAAATTAAGGGAATCTCTTGTGCCACCCCAGGTCACCAGAACTAATCAATCTCCACTCTATCCACAATTAAAAAAGTTTTGCCTTTAGTTATACTTTAAGTTTTAAAACTGGTGCCATTTATCATCCAGCGACTTATCCCCCAAACCATTGTTGTGAGCCACATCCCACTTTAATCTACTGAGTGTTATACCATCTTCTATGTGCAGTATTTCTCCAGTGTGGCAATATTCCACCACATTCTTGTTCATACATGACATGCTCCAGTTGTTTACAAGCATGTTCTGTCTCTGTTTTTCTCATTCATGCTCGTTTGAAAGATGTAATTAACATTTATGTTCATATTTTGCATGAAATTGAAAACTTCCATAGCTCTATAGCTGTAGGTGTACATATAAAATAAAAACTTAAAGGAAATCTCTATAAATCAATATAAAATATGCAATTATGAGATTTATCACGACTTCTGAGACGTTTTGGCAGTTTTTGCATGGGAACTGTATTTTTGTCATAAAAAAATTGTATACACACTTTATAAGATAGGGACCACACAGTCCCTTTCATCTCCAGTGTATTAGGGTGCAAGCACTGCTCATCCAATCCATGTGGAATAAATATAATAGAATCCAAAAGGTTGCACACTTGAAAACTGCATTCACGGTTTTGACTATCTTTAAAACGCTACATACAGCAATAGTAGACACTGTGGGAGCAAGGAAACACAGTCAACATGTTTCATTCTGATATTCATGACTTCTGTCATATATAGTCATGTATAATCGCTAGCAACGCAAAATGCATTGACTGTGGTTTCTTTCTCCCATGGTGTGTACTGTTGCTGTATATGGCGTTTTAAAGACTATCAATAAAGTGGATGCAGTTTTCAAGTGTGCAGGCCTTTGGATCTATTGCATTTGTTCCACTTTTGTTCACTGTTGTAGCTGCTGCTTGACACAAGACCTGGAAGCTAATGGAGATCGATGGAGTAGCAGTGACTTTGACAGTGATTTACAACTTCTATAGGGATCTCACAGGTATAGTATATGCATAGTCACATTGGTTAAAGCTTGACTATTTTGGGATGGACCTATTTAACTATGTAAGTAAATACCATACCTGGTATTCTTCAATTCATACAGTAACATGATTGTTTTTTCATTCCTAATCAAAATAATTAGTTTTTTTTGTGACATGCTCTAAATGAACATAGAGAATAGTACTGCTAAAGTCAAGATTTTTATGGTTTACAGAATAACATCAACTGTCTCTTGTGACATGGATTTAACAAAGTATCCAATGGACGAGCAGGAGTGCTTGTTGGACCTCGAGAGCTGTAAGTGATAGAGAACCTAAGGACATAGTAGTGATGTTGGGTTGGGGTTGACAGGGAGAACCTCTGGGTCTTGTGAGGGACACAGGAGATTGACACCCTTGGAAGTACCGGTGGCTTCAACTTCAGCTGGATATTCTTCTTGATCAGAGTAACATTTGTTGACACAGTAGGCAGGTGAGGTAATTATTTGCATTCTTTTTTACAGATGCAGTTTTGATTTGCATTTGTAAAATGCTGACAGTGTCACTTTAAGGACAGCCAATGACAGACTAGCAATAAAATTCAGACCTCAAATATAAAGAACAGTTGGCTGCATTTGTGTCTGCACCAAACCTCAAAAGTAAAAAACAAAACACCAATTGAGTGGAGTCCTTGTTTAATATTTTATGTACCATCAATACTCTTATTAGGATTTTACATTAAATTGTTGTATTCTATAACTGAAAACCCTCTGTTTGGCTACCCTCTGTTTTGGTTACTGTTTTATATTAAAATTAACCAGTACCTGCTGACATGGTTCTGAAAATGTTTTTGTCCTGCCACTCTTCAGTTTCATTACTGAGACAGAATAATCATGCAATTTAGATCCTTATTTGCATACTGCAAAAATGAAGTGAAGCATCAGTGTGAAATTCAGAGAACTAGTACTTGAGGAAGATAAGGTTACCCAGAACAGTCCATGCTTCCTCTAAAGTTTCCTTTAAAGATCCAGGATATAGATAGAAGACAACCATGGAAACATTTTATTATATATGAAAACCAAAGTATTATTTTTATTAGTATTATTATTATTAGTACTAGTAGTAGTAGCAGTTGCAGCAATATTGGAATCAGCTTGTACATAGAGGTGTTTCAGCATCATGTAGTGTATAAATGACAGTTGAATTCATTAGATTTGTCTGTGTGGCAGAGAGGAAGTGGCACTTTTTTACTTGGAGCAAAACCGTGAATGTAGCTGTAGAGTCAAAGTGTCACTACTCAGCATTGTGCTTCACTGAAATAGAAAATGTGGAATAAATGTTGACAATGCTTGAATATGGCCCTTCATAGTATAATAATGTTACTCTAAAACAGATGGCTACTCAGCAGAAGACATTCTCTACCACTGGTCGGACAAACAGGAACAGATCCACGGACTGGATAAACTTGAGCTTGCGCAATTCACTCTTACAGGCTATAAATTTACAAGGAAGGTAATGAACTTCAAATCAGGTAAGGGCATGAGCTGTTCGTATCTACTGTATATGAATGTATTTGAAAAAACAGTGCAAAGGCCCATAGTGATATACAATATGCGATCATCCATAGCAGCCAATTAGACTGTGGTTTAACTGCTCCAACACCAGCAGAACCCAGCCTCTGGACACTTGGGGGTTTATTTACTAAAGCTGGAGAGTGCAAAATCAGACTCACTTCTGCATAGAAACCAATCAGCTTCCAGGTTTCATTGCCAAAGCTTCGATGAACAAGCTGAGGTTAGAAGCTGATTGGTTTCTATGCAGAAGGGAGTCTGATTTTGGACTCTCCAGCTTTAGTAAATAAACCCCTTGGTGCTATGACCACATACAAGCTAGCTGACTAGCTGTGGCCAGTTTGTGTGCGGCCCAAAACTCCACAGAAATGCCGAGCCTCAAAGCACACTGTCTGTGTCCAGAGTTGGATGGAGGCTCTGTTTGCATGTAACTGCTTAGATGAGTAGTTACATGTGAACAGCAGTGGTGCAGGCCATTGATTTGTACAGGGTGCAACAATGACCAAAGCTGCTGCTTGCATACAGTAAGTGCAACCACCAGTTACAACTGCTGACAACAATCTACTGATTCCTACTGGCGGCAACCCCTAACCACTACTGGTATACTGCCTAACCACCATGTTGCTGTTATAAAGCCAAACTCCAGCATAAACATGTTCATGTTTTAAGGTGAAGGGGAAGATTTCTTTAATTGTTTTTGTACTTTCCATTATAGGGCAAAATGGCTCTATATTATGCAATATAAGGCATTAACATTAAAATGATGTAAGTTCACAATTTTATTATTGTATAACTATATGCTAATTGAACGGGAGTGGTCTCTATATGTATGTGTGACGGGGGTGAAAAGGGTACTCAGAGTCTAACAGTGTTGGATATGATGTGCTGCATCCAAATGTGTTAGCCAGAATATTTGAGGTTGGTCTTCGAATTAAGCACTAAAGACGGCTGAGATGTTCCGTATGGGAACTATATGAAAAGTTTGTCTTTATACAACTTTTATGAGTACAAGATGTTTTATTTTAACTAGTTAAAGATTTTTTGAGGGTCTTACACTATGCCAGTGCACATATACAGTATATATACAGATCATGCATTTGTGTGCTTGGGTAACAGAAAGCATTCCCTGCCTATAACATATTAATATCATAATACATTTTAATAGCAATGAATCACAGCAAGCACCTTGCCCCTGACAGTTGCTCAGATTTTCTGCACAAGAAGTGGCTTTCTTTCATGAGTGAGATCTGCAAGATGTGTATCTAATTTCCCTTGTCAGACATCTCCTATAGCTGTATACATCAGTTCTCTGCAATCAATATCCTGAGCTGTTTATTATTCAGCAGATCAGCAGTTCCTTCTTCATTAGAACAGCAGGGCTCCTCATGGAAAGTAACAAAAAAGGCCAACAAATATTTACCTTAATATAGTTTTTACGTAACTGTCTGCAAATATGTTTTATTAATAATAAGGGCAGCGTAACAGAAAGTAGCATTTACAAAATGTTTTTTTCTTCTAAAACCCAATTCTTCTACCCCCACTTCATCCTTCTTTAATGTTCAACAGACCTACCTAAATTAAACCTGAAATCTAAAAGTATAGATTTTCTATGTTATAGGGAAAATTAAGAAATGTTAATTGTGTGTAGCACTACCTCCGTAGGGGCCACTAGTAATATCTGGTTCTTACATGAAGCTGTATTCACCTCCAGTAACTACCCTGCTGCTTAAGTTAGGCTGAGCTCAGCTGTCTAATAATCCGCTGACTCTGGAACCGTGAATGCACAGAACAGAGCTGGGGAGAAGCTGCAAAAATTACAGGCATTCTTCTCTTGCCCACGGACATTTATCGACAGGAGAAAGGAGCCCTTTTTTAAACTGTCCATAAATTTAAGAACGCTTGGCAACCCAGACTGTGACTGTCCCTATGTTTCTTGCTCTTAAAAAAGTAGAAGAGAAGAAGAAGAGAAGTTTATTTTTTTGGCCATTTACACTTACCTAGGTGGATGCAGCATCCGTCCACTGCTGTCTCTGTCCCCCGCTGGCTCTAAGTGTGCTGACTTAGCAATCACATGACCGCTGATCGCTGAGTTCTCACAGCCGCTCTGAGTAGAGAGTGGTGACTGTCAGTCATGCTGTCTGCTCTGCACACCCCCTCGCACTCACTGGAGCTGTGGAGCGGGAGGGAGCAGTTAGCTCAGGTTAGGTGCCCACTCCAGACTCTAAGGTTGATCCCGACTTTAAAGTCGGGATCTTCCCCAGCCTGGACTGGCCAAGTGCCATCAGCCACTGTCAGCTGAAAACGTGTCACAGGAGTGAACTACGTGTACTATACTCCTATGATCCACAGGAGACGTACAGCCAAAAGAATGTTGGCTGTACCTTTTCTTTAACTGCCCCATTACCCCTGATTTGCCTGTCTCCATCTCCCCATGTCCCATGTTCTATTCCCATCTCCCTTGCTCTGTCCACATGTAGCTTCTTTAACTGCCCCCATTTCTCTTTTTTCCTTGCAATATCTCTATGTCCCCTTCTCTGTCCCAATCATTTCTTCATGTATTCACCTCGAGAGGGTCCCTATGATGTACATGCACTGGGCTGTATAATAAGCATCACAGACAGTCAGACATAATAAGAAACATAAGCCTTTACCTACCTTACACTGAGGATCGTCATCCATGCCTTTCCCACGCCTCATCGGTAGTGTCAGTGGAAGGAATAGTGTACTATCATTGGGGTCAATGGGAGGAATACCTGTTGTTGGCGTCATTGGGAAGAATAGTGACATATTGTTGGTGTCAATGGGATATATGATGTCCCAAGAAGATTGCCTAAAGGCAAGCAAAGGGTGGCATCCGGCCTGTGGGACGCAGTTTGAGACCACTAGTTTGAATGACAAATAATCCTTGTATTCAGAGCTCAATTGCTTTGTAACTGTTAGCAATGGAGTAGCTTTGTATCAGGAAAATAAATGTCATGCCAAGTCACTCACACATAGACCCAGATGTGCTTGGTTCCAAAAGCTAAACCAATCCTTAAGAAATACTGAAGGATCCTACACTTAACATGTCACTGCAGCAACATTTTTTTTGTTAGTGACTGTCTATACTGGTGTGGGTAAGAGATAGTGCCAGTATTGATGACCTTTTACAGTATCACATGACTTCTCAGTGTTGTAGGAATTCCCCCAAACAAGTGTGTTATAAAAAATGAAATGGTCACTGGGACTTTCCTTTAATAGCTTGAACAACCAATACATTTTGTTAGACTGATGTAGTGAATGTGTAGTAATTTATAGTTTCCTACAGATAAAATTATGGATATGCTTTTTCTGCATACCATTCCATGCCTACTATATGTTAGAAAAAAGTTTTGGCTAAGATCTGCTGTTAGGATGCAGTTATTTAAAAAGTAAAGCAAAATGTTGACTGTTTTATTTTTCAGCGGGTCAGTTCCCCCGGCTGACCCTAAGCTTCCAGCTGAAGAGGAACAGAGGAATGTACATTATACAGTCTTATGTTCCATCCATTTTACTGGTAACCATGTCATGGGTCTCTTTCTGGATCAGTCAGTCTGCAGTTCCTGCAAGAGTTTCTCTAGGTAATTGGTGATAGCTATAGAGAAATTACATTTGCAGTGTAATACCCTCACTAAAGTGCATGGAGGAAAGTCAAAATTCCTTAAAGGTATAATATCAGATTTCACTATTCAAGACAAGATAGTGAGATAATAGATAGTGAGATAATCAACTTGTTAATGTTTTTATCCATCTCCTTTCAATGTGTTTTTTTTTCAAATATATTTAACTACTGTATGTCATTGACCAAGAATAAGCATGCAGATCAGGAGTTCTGACATCATTTACCGAATCACTTATTAAAGTTGTCCTTGTTCTTTACAATCTTTATTGTGTAAAGTCACTTATACATTACCAAATTATTTTATTTGTCAAGGTATCACCACTGTACTCACAATGACCACTCTGATGGACTGTGCACGATCTTCTCTGCCCAGAGCGTCTGCCATCAAAGCTCTGGATGTCTACTTCCTCATATGCTATGTTTTTGTGTTTGCTGCCTTGGTAGAGTATGCATTTGCTCACTTTAATGCGGACTACATGAAGAGAAGAATAAGAAGATGACAGTGCGTGCCAAGCAGAAAAATAAGGTTAGAATTGTTTTAAATATTGAGAGCTCAAAATTTAGAACCATGTTACAGATACATTATACAAAATACAGAACCATAAAAAAATAGGATTCATTTTCTCGAAGTTCAGTGGAAGACACAACTCTGCTTTGGATTAGGAGTCTCCAAACTTCTGTATAAGGGTCACATCTATATTTTATCAATATTCATGGGTCAAAAAATATTCTTCCCATCAGAGTCAACCATTGTGGTGGGAGGTAGGAGGCAGAGCATATCTGGACAGAGGGATGCCATACTCTTATGAATGCTAGGCCAAGCAGGTGATTGATTGCTAGGATACTAATGGTCCTAGCAATCAACAGGACAATGACAACACAGCTAGGGGGACCTGTCCCGGACACCGTTGGGGAAGGGAGTTGTAGATGTTGGATTAAAACAGGGACTCTAGGCTGACCTGTAGACCTGTGTAAGAGGACACTGACCCTAGCTGTTGACTAGATAAAATTTTGTAGTGAGCCAGGTTCAGCCCATGGTTTGTAGATCCCTGCTTTAGATTTACACCTACTGGGTATAGAGCCACCTGCAAGAGTAGGACACTAACTACAAATAAAAAGCAAAAGACAGCCCAGGGCAGCATTTCCACACATGGGCAGCATCAAAGCCAGAGAGAGGTGCTACATCCTCCAATGAACATGGAGAATACTGGAACTTCCCAAAGAAGTGCCACACAGGGTGGATAAAAACCAAAATGAAAAATAGTGTTGAGTTTTGCCCACCAGTAGGAGCCACCCCTGGGCTGTCTAATGTTTTTTTAGTTATACTAGCATCCTACTTCTGCAGGTGGCACTGTGCCCAGTAGGTTAGGATTTGGAGCAGAGATGTAACCTCCAAGGAATGGAAATAAACTGTATTTATTATGTGAACTACTTAATGTTGATGGTGAAATTATACATTTTATATAATATGTACAATTATTAACCTTATGGCAGGTTCTTATATATTGTCCAACTGTAACTCAGAGCATTCTGGTCTAACACCCAATGTAACAAGCAACATTTTGGCTTTCCGGTTATTGTAAGGGTCAATCTATCTACAATCAACTTTATATTTACCATAACTGTGGAATATGAGGACCTCCCTAAAATACCCAATCAATTTACACAGTTGTTGTTTGATCTAAAGGAAATTGTACAGTCAGTTTGTAACGCATGTAGTGCGCCTGCATCGACAGGCTTTTGTTCTTGTCCTAGTGGCTTTGCATTGCCATACAAATCTATGGGAAAGCAAAACCCACTTGGTTAAATGCAGATCAGAAGAAGATCAACTGCAGGTCAAATGTATTATATCTGTCAGTGTATTCTGAATGATCTCAAAAGTGTCTCAAACTGATGTCGATATGATGCCATCAAAACAGGCCTTAATATTTCTATTGTTGTGTAACCTTTTGTCCATTTTATTCTGATTCTCATTATAATACACAGTATCTGGGCTTTGTTTTTAGTTTAGCACACAGTGGCCTTGTATGGTGCTTAATATCTTATGTGACATTTTATTTAGGTGTGTATTATTACAACTGGAATCCTGGCCTAGTATTGTACTTTACCTTCTGTAATATTCCCTTGCCACTGACTTTAGGACTACTGCTAATTTTTTTTTCTGTTTTAGTGCTTAAAGCAGCGTTCCAGCTGAAAAAAATAAAAAAAGTCAGCAGCTACAAAAACTGTAGCTGCTGACTTAAAATACAGCCACTTACCTGTCTCTCGGTCCAGCGGTGTCCCTCACCACCACTGGTTTCTCCGACCGTCTTCTCTCCCTGGCGCCGTCATCTTTAATGTGGGCACCCGGCTGTGACAGCTTGTGGCTTCACAGCTGGGTGCTCACTGTGCATGTGCAAGAAGTGCTGCACTTTTGTGAATGGCCCTGTAGTCTTCTGGGACCTCTCACGTGTCCCAAAAGACTACGGGGAGGGAGGGAGGACAACTTCCTGCTTCCGATCGCCTAGGTGATCGCAGTGGAAGTGGGAACCTGTCAAATTCGGGTACATACTCCCCAAAGGTGCCAATCCTTAATGGGGAGCAGAGAACAAAGCATTAAAGCAGAACTTTCCCATTTAAGTCAAAAGGATTGGAACTTTTTTTTGGATTACTGTGCTAACCTAAAGTAATTGATGTGCTATTCTAATATAATTGATGAGATTTGCCCTCACTTCCTGTACAGCATATATAGGAAGAAAAGAGAGGAAATATTCAGAATATGAGGAGAAATCCCAAGTTGGCAGTTGTCCGGGGAACAGGTATTCCCATATAAAGATTTCTTCTCACCTTGTTTTTCAGTGACAATTATAAAATTTGGGATTTCCCATCACTTTCTTTTACCAGGACAAGAACTAAAGGAATCCACCCCTACCCAGTGAGAATGCAGGTAGCGATAGAAACCTAAGCATGGTTCTAATTTTTTCCCTTTGTGCAAAACTAGAATAAATGGTGAAGTTTCACTATAAAATTGTAATTTTAAATTATTTTAAAATAGTTCTGTATTTTTTACCTTTTCCATAAAGAATTAGTTTGCATTTTATTCCTTTGTGTCATTTTAGGTGTCAATGAAGGATGGTAATCAAGCCATAGTCCCGCTCACCTTGTCATTATTGGGAGTGAATCTTAACTTGGTGGAGCAATACACTAACGTTCCAGGGCTAATAAGTGAGCCCAAATGTACAGGAAGGGCAAGTAAATTACATTCTTATGAGCGGAAACCTGACCAAAAAAGTAGCCGACTGAAGACTTTACTGAAACCCATAGATGCTGATACCATTGATGTTTATTCAAGGGCAGTTTTTCCAGCTGCCTTTGCAGCAGTAAACATTATTTACTGGGTAGGCTACACAAATTGAGAGCAGTTTTGTCTCTAGTGTCTATATGCATCAACTAAAATATATGTTAATTACTGTAATAAAACAATTAAATACAACTACAGTGCATAATTCAAGTTTTAAACATATTTTATAGTATGTTTGGTTAGTATGAATACATTTAGATAAACTTCTCTGTAAACAGCATTGTTAAAGAAATATGCATTAAAATGTAAAAGTCAATCAGAAATAATCTTTACTCTTTGGATATGTGTGTCCGGACCTGGATCTGAACCTGCAATCTTTGCTGTGCCTAACAGTATCTCTTTTTGAGCCACCAGAGATGTTGGACAGCACCCTGCCTGATTCCTTAGACAACCCTGCCTTGTATCATGTTTTTCTTGAACTTTGAGCCCTTTGCTTCTCCCATGAACTTTCTATTTACGCCATGCTTTTGCACTTTCTGTTTGCCAGATTATTGTGCTCTCTCCAGCCAATATCGCACTCTTGTCACTCCTGCTGCTGTCCGTATCTTTACTACAAATCGTTACTGACCTTTGGCTTGTTTCTTGACTATGCTTCTGTTTGTTTCCAAACTGCAACCACTTGTGAGGTGACCCTGAGGACTGTGTGGCCTGGTACTAACACACAGCAAAACCCATCTTCATCTGGTGAATACTGGTTAATGCTTAGACCCCGCACCTCAGGTGAACCTGCATCATCTGCCAGGGTGACCTGCTTGCATACCTATCCTACTGGTCAGCGGGAGCCTCTCCACTGATACAGCTGCCGGTCTCCGAGCCTGACCCATGACTGTGACAATGTGTTACATATAATACAATGGTCCTATGGTCTTGTGGATGGCCTTGTTGATGCAGAAATTGTAACTATTGTAAGAATTTGTTGATTGCCAATTGTACATACTTCATTGTTCCTTTTTTTTTTTTTTAAAAGAACATGAAATATATACAGGTATATTCCGTATATACAGTACTGTGCATATACAGTATATATCAGGGGCGGACTGACAACTCATGGGGCCCCCGGGCAATAGGGGATCATGGAGCCCCTGTGTCCTTGCCCAAACTCAAAAAAGCCTATGAAAAAGGTACCAGGGGCATCTCATGGGGCCCCCTACTGACCCCGGGCCCTCGGGCAGTGCCCGAGTTTCCAAATGGTCAGTCCGCCCCTGGTATATATATATGTGTGTGTGTATAAATGAAGCCCCACTAGTAATTTTTGCCATCTCGGCTTAAATAAAAAGTTTATGTAAATAGTTTTTTTATTCTAGTTATAGAATATGTCTTCAGCCAATCACTCTACTACTTTCTGGTTCTGCTGCATTTCTAAAACTGGAAATAAATCAATTACCTGCCTGGCTGAGCAATGTGGCACAAGTGTGTAAATAAAAAAATGGTTATACAGAATTTCAAATCTTTTGGCAGGTAGATCAGTAAACATAAAAGTATTTTGAAATATGTACTTATAACTGGAGTTCCATTTTAAACCCCACTTGTGTGTATTTTTTTTTACATAGTCTTCTTGGAGACGTAAAAACAAAAATGCAGCTCTGGCTGCAATACTTAATTCCTCTCCGGTGTTGTAATTCCTTTCCACCACTGGATGTCCTCAGTCTTGTGGGTTGAATGACATTCAAACATATTCAGAAAAGTAGACTACTCATTTTATTTATAGGATTTCACCTAAAATACTTTCAGTGGAAATAGTAAGTATATTACAAAGTAAACTGTAAATAGACAATTAGAGGAATATTTTATTTTATGTTAAAAGTAAAAACTTTCTTCAAAGCTCTTCACATACCAAAGAGGCTTACTCTAGTCTAGTACCTAACCAGCAACTCACAATGTACACCCCTGCTTTAAAATCCCACTTTCAACTTCTCACAGATACTGTTAAAGGAAACTATAATGGTTTTGCATTAATTCTATTTTTTTTTTTAAAGTTTATACATTTTTCAGCTGATTTTGTTACTTTTTTATGATATATGTGGAGAAAATAATTCACTTTGGCATCTTTAAAATGGTATAACTCTGCTTTGTCACTTTTACCTATAATAACACTCACCTGTAGATAAAACAAATATCTCCTAAAAGTGCACTATTTAGGAGATACTCACAAGTTTTGAAGCTGATGATGTCACAGGCGCATACGCACTAAGAAATAATAAATAAATGAATAAATAAATAAATAAATGTATTTATTTATTTATTCCCTAAATGCGTCCAGAGCGCTGTGTCATAACCATGATTCCTGTGTGCATGTGTCATTATCACAGCTTGGCCATTCAAATGGCTGAATCCCATGAACCCGAAAGGAAAGCAATACATACTAGCACATCATTCCATTAACTTGCGGGGGGCAGGACTTAAAAGAGGAGTATGGGTTGTTATTTTATTTTGCATTATCTGAATCCTGGTGAGGTTCTACTATGAAAAATTATTTTCTGGCCTCTGAAATGTACACCATTTCTTCTGAAATCAAAGAAAATACCTGTGGGAGGGGCTGAGGTCTCTCATGCAGCGTCATCCCAACAATGAAGTCGGGATCTACTCCCCACTAATGACTGACATTGGCTCCTGTAAGTTTGCACACTGAGACTTCAGCAGTGCTTCAGCTCTTCTCACACTCCCTCCTCCTCTCCTTCCTATCCAGGCAGCTTCTGTCCCCCTACTCCCCCCTCCCATCAAGGTGGTTCTGAGTCCGAGTTTCACTTACAGACATGCAGCTGCTTTCTTCCTCTTCCTTCCTTCTCCCTCCCATCCAAGCTGAGCTCTCACTGCTGGACTTTATCAGTTCTCTCTCTGCAGAGTGAAGCAGGGAAGAAGCTGAAGAACATTTCTTCATTCTTTTCTTGTTCAGGACAGTCTTCTGGAGTTGCAAATCCCTCAGCATACTGTTATGTGCCTCCGTTTCTTGTTGACAGTGTGAAGTCATGGAAACAGAGGCACATGACAGGCGGGCACATTCCAGCTTGTATCTCTGTGAGGAAAGTGTGGTCACAGCTGAGAGCTGAAGGAGGAGAAAATGAGGGGGGAGGGCAGATCACTTCAGATGTAGCCACCCACTCTAAACTTTCAAACCTGAAGAGAACCGTTACTCGGCCCTAACCAGGACTTTGGAATGGGGAGGCAGCAAAAATGGAGCAACGAAGGAAAGAAAGAAAAGCTTATCTGTGGTGAGGGTAGTTAATGCTATCTATTTGTACTATCCCATACTTCTCCTTTAATTTTAACTTTAAAGTGTATTTCCACCTTTGTAGCCAAATTTGAGGAATCCTCACCATATGTAATGTGTTTTCGTTCACAAAGCATATTTAAAAAGAAATCTTAACTTTCTAGTTGTTTCTTTGCATTAACCCTTTCGGTGCCAGGTCCATATGCTATATGGACCTGATAGCAGGGGGCTTTATACACAATCCAGCAATCCAGTGGGTGCAGCCACCGGGATTGTGTATAAAACTGACAGGCAGACTCCTGTCTGTCAGGTGGAATCGATCAAGTTGCTCCGCTGCCGCCGATTGCTTCCACAGCCCCTGATCACTTCCACAGCCCACAGTTCCGGTGTCCCCCCCCCCCCACGCGGGAGCGCTCCCGCCATGTAACCGGGCTCTGCTTACCCATCTGCGGGCGCAAGGAGAGCCATGGTGGGTGAAGGTGGGTGGAGGGGAGAGAGGGGACCAGACAAGCATCTGCTCCCCTCCCCTTCTTTCTGTGACCTGCAAGGCGATGTCCATGATGTCACTTCTGGGTCACAGCTGTCATTTTCCCAGCTAGAAAGATGTATTGCAATGCGATTTGAAGAAAAAATAAAGTTACACCCAAGCATATAACATCCCCCCCAAAAAATTTTGAGGCCCCCACCACCCCCACATATACATGTGTACAAACAAAAATACACATGTTGGGGCACCTACGTGTGAAAATGTTGATTGCGATACACATGTTACATAGCGACATGCACGCCGGGGTGAGAGCAATAATTCTAGTACCAGACCTCCTCCGCAATGCTAAACTGATGACCTCTAGGGGCTTTTGAAGCATCATCTATAGAAAATATAGGGTACTGAAGTTTGACGCAATTTCATAGGCGCACACAAATTTAACATTTTGCATGTAGCAGATCACATGACAACTGTAAACAGTAAATGGCTTTGATTCATGCCATGCGTTGTTACAATTGTTTTAGCACAGTGGCCAATCACAGCCCATCTGTACCATGTGATTTGCTGTGGCCAATCACAGGTAATCACAACAAAACAAACAGAGTGAATTGATTTAATTAAGTAAAATGCTTGCTTATAGCAGTGAAATTCACTGCTATAAGCAATCATATTGTGTAAAAAAAAATCCTGACCACTTCCCCAGAGTAGTACAATGTTACTACGGTAACGTTAAATTGCTCTGGTCTCAGTGAGTTAAAAAGATGTAAAAAACAATTAATAAAAAATGTAAAAAAAAGTATAAATTTTTTTTTTTTTTCATACTTTCACCAGTCAGTGTGCCTGATCACCTCCACACCAGTAAAGTGATGACGCTGTACTGCACTGATGACAGTATGTAACAAAACAAAACTCATTTTCAAAAAAATTATGACAACAAAAATTACAACTTCAAAACCCTCGCCATGCCTCTTGCACTGTCTGCTTTCCAAAAAGGGGTCATTTGGGGGATATCTGTACTGTCCTGAAATTTTTGGGCCTCAAGAAATGAGATAGGCCATCAGTACATCAGGATTGATTGATTTTCAGATATATACCATAGTTTTTGTACTTTATAACTTTCCTACAGACTAAATAATAAACACTGATTTAGGTTATTTTCAGCAAAGAAATGTAGCAGAAAACATTTTGGCCTAAATTTATGAAGAACAAATATTTATTTGCTAAATTTTATAACATAAATTAATTATTTTTTCATTTATTTAGCAAAAAAAAAAAAACAAACCCCAGTGGTCAATAAATATTACCAAAAGAAAGCTCTATTTGTGTGAAAAAAATTATAACAATGTAGTTTGGGTACAGT